TTTCCCAGGCCACCGGCAGGGAGCTGGATGGGAAGTAGAGCTGCCGGGATTAAACTGACGCCCATATGGGATCCCGGTGCATTCAAGGTGAGGACTTCAGCCGTTAGGCCACGCTGCTGAGCCCCCCTTCTTGTCTTCAATGCCAGCCCTAGGAAGTGGCAGGATTCTCTTGTCCATCCCTCATCCAGCGTAAGGTCCCGGCCTGCACCTCCCTCGTCTCTTGCCTTCTGCACACTCCGGCCACCCTGCTAGCAGTTTGTTGCTCCAGTCAGCAGACCAAGCTGCACATTCAGCTCTTTCCACTTGGGCACCACTGCGTAGGCTTCCTCCAGCTCCCGGTCCACCCTCCCACCTCCCACACGTCTAGCTAAAGTAGCAGAAGATAGTGAAGTGTATTCTGGACTTAGACCAGGCTGCCTGGCACACGTTCCAAGTTCCTCGGCCGCCATCCGGTTTGGGGAAAGTCAGTCTCACCTGTACGGCAGGGAGATAATTTGCAACCCACAAGGTTACTGGGCAGGCCAATCTGAGAACAGCCTAGGAAACAGAACAAAGCTTGTGGAAGTGTAAGGTGTTCACGGGGCATTGTCTTATTTTGCCTTTATTCGCTCCGCACCCACCATCTTTAAACAAACCTGGAAGGGGTTTTTGTCTGTCACGTTCACTGTCGCATCCCTGGCCCCTAAAGCCATGCTGAAGAAGATTCTCTCTGTGTTGGGTGTTCAGGAAAGCCTTCAAGCCCTTCCCATACTTATCATAAAAATGGGGAAACTGAGGCTGAAACAAATAACTTTTTCCAAACACAAACTGTCAACCTGAGAAGTATCAGGATCAGCTACATTCATGCTGTGGGGAAACACCAAACACTTCCGTCAGATTTTAGGGTCATAGATGTTCAGACTTCATCCTGGGGCACAACACGGTAGCCTAGTGGCTAACATCCTTGCCTTGTGTGCGCCAGGATCCCATATGGGTGCCAGTTCCTATTCTCACTGCTCCACTTGCCATCCAGCTCCCTGCTTGTGGCCTGAGAAAGCAATACAGGCTGACTTAAAGCCTTGGAACCCTGCACCTGCATGGGAGACCCGAAAGAAGCTCCTGGCTCCTGATCAGCTCAGCTCTGGCTTTTGTGGCCACTTGGGGAGTAAACTAGCAGATGGAAGATCTTTCACTCTATGTCTGTTTCTTTCTGTAAATCTGACTGTCCAATAAAGAAAGAAATCTTTAAAACTAAGACTTGGTCCCTCCTGTGCTCTCCTTGCATTTTCAGGAGGAAGAATCCCAGAGGGAGCCCCAGGATGCTATAAGAACACAGAGGAACTACCTCCCAACTCCCAAGGTGATTGTATTAAGATTTATTTATTTTTATTTGAAAGGCGGGGTTATAGAGATGAGAGACAGAGAAAGATCTTCCATCAGCTGGTTCATTCCCCAGGTGGTCGCCTTGGCTGTGCTGAGCCAATATGAAGCCGGAAGCTTCTTCTAGGTCTCTTACATTGGTTGCAGGGTTCCAGGACTTTGCGCCATCCTCTACTGCTTTCCCAGTCTACAGGCATGGAGCTGGATGGGAAATAGAGCAGCCGGTACATGAACAGGCACCTATAAGGGATCCTGGTGCTTGCAGAGGGAGGATTATCTAATTGAATCATTACTCCAGGCCCCATCAGTTAATTAATTAATTAATTAATTAATTGAAAGGCAGAGGTGGGGCCGGCATGGTGGTCTAGCGGCTAAAGTCCTCACCTTGAACCTGCCAGATCCCATATGGGTGCCGGTTCTAATTCCGGTGGTTCCACTTCCCATCCAGCTCCCTGCTTGTGGCCTGGGAAAGCAGTCAAGGATGGTCCAAAGCTTTGGGACCCTGTACCCACTTGGGAGACCTGGAAGAGGCTCCTGGTTCCCAGCTTCGGATCCACGTAGTACTGGCCGTTGCGCTCACTTGGGGAGTGAATCATCGGATGGAAAATCTTCCTCTCTGTCTGTCCTCCTCTCTATATATCTGACTTTGTAATAAAAATAAATAAATCTTTAAAAAAAAAAACTGAAAGGCAGAGGTGCAGAGAAAGAGATCTTCCATCTGCTGTTCACTCCCCACGTGGCAGCAATGGGGAGGTTGGAGCCGAAAGTATTATCCAGGTCTCCCACATGGGTGTATTAGGAGCCTAAGGACTTGGGCTATTCTCTGCTGCCTTTCTGAGGCCATCAGCAGGGAGCTGCAATAGAAGTGTAACAGCCAGGGCTTGAACCAGAGCCCATATGGGATGCTGGGTTGCAGGTAGTATTTTACCCACTATGCTACAGTGCTATCCCTGGTCATCGTAGTTTAAGACAAGTGAACCAGGCATCCCCTGGACTCAACCGCTGTATTTTGATTTTACTCCCAAAACTTTTGGGATCTGTTTGGGATTTATTATTTAGTTCGGCATTCTACACTTTTTAACCACTTGTACTTGCTGCTGTCCTGCTCCTTCCATTTTCCACCAATGGTTGTCCCCAGTGAGAGCAAGCATAGGTTTGGTGTTACCTGGCTTAGCTAGCTGCTCTGCCCACATTATGCATGAAAAAAAACAGGTCCAGAGCATTTAGTAGATCAGCATCACACAGCTAGGGAGAGAGGGTTGGGACCCGACCCGAGCACTTTTCACCAGCCCAGTTCCTCTGGATTGGGCCTTTTTTCCTGGGATTGGTGATCTGTGTCCTGCTGAGGGGAGAGCCAGCTTGTGGCCTCTGGAGTCCAATGAGTGGTCTGAATATTTCCATCCTCTGGTTCACTTCCCAAATGGCAATGGCTGGGACTGTGCCAGGCCAAAGCCAGGAACCAGGAGCTTCTTCTGTGTCTCCCACTAGGTTGCAGGGCCTGAAATACTTGGTCATTTTCTGCTGCTTTTCCCAAAGCACATAGCAGGGAGTTAGATTGGGAATGGAGAAGCCAGGATTCAAACAGGTGCCTCTATGGGATTCAGGAACGGCAGGTGGAGGCTTAGCCCCACAATGCTGGTGGATTGGGACCATTTTGATGGCAGCAATGGGGGTGCCCTTTGGAAAGAGCCCAGGGTTAAAAATTTGGGGTGATAGTCTCTCCTTTTCTCCTGTACTTTTTCTCCCTGCAAAGAAGGGGCGGTCTAGAGTTAGGAGAGGTTAAGCATGGTTTTGCTTCCCAAGCCAGGAGGGAAAGCCAAACCAGGCAAGGGAGAGAGGGTTGTGGGGAGGCGGTGGGGTGGAGGAGGTGCTCCATGCCAAGGAGGGGAAACAGCACGAGCCCAGCACGAGCCCAGTTCTTTCACGTTTCACTGGCTCACCCTCCCTGCCTCTCTGGCCCAGGACCACAAGGAGGGAAAAAGCAGAACAAGACTTCTTGCTTTGTCTTGGGAACCCAGGGTGGGAGTCACATCCTGAAAGGATGCGGCCAGCCTGGTGGGAACACCTCATCCTGGTCCCCTCACCATACTAGGTGCTCAGGACACTGGTCGGTTCCCTTAGAGAGCTGAGGACCCTGGAACACCAGGGGTCTTCACCTCCACTCCGCTGCAGCCCCTGGTGTGTGCTCCCAGGGCTCGTGTGCAATGGAACCCAGAACCAAAGCCCCACCCGGCTCTGCTGCCCTTGTTTATAGGGGAAGCCGGATATCCCACAGCTGTAGGCATGAACAACATAATTTAATTTCCCAGGTTCCTCATCAGAATAAGCCGTGGGCGGCATCGGGCCAGGGCATGGGGCAGGCACACCCTGGAGACTCAGAACTGCCACCTCAGAGAGAAAATGGGAGCGGGGGCAGGACTAGAGGCGCTCAGGGGTCTTTGGGTGAGGCCTGAGGATAAAGCAGCTTGGGGACCCAGAGGACACAGCGTCCCCAAAGCAAACTTGCCCAAAATAGAGTGATGCACCAGAGGGTGCTTGCCTTTGTAACCAACAAGCCTATGGGGTCGTTGCTGCTTCCGCCCCTCCACTGTCCAACCCCCCCCCCCACACACACACTTTTTTTTCTGCCTGCAGCCGGGAATGCCAAGCCGAGATGGAGATCCAGCCCTGGCCACCTTGCCATTGGCTCTGCACCCCCTTTCAGGCCTCTCTGGGAACCACAGAAATCTGGGGCCTGGTGTCCTGGCAACATGATGAACACACACATAGAGCTGGTATCTGTTTTAGATTATCCATTAAAATAAGTACCGAGAAAAAAAAAAAATACCGTCCCGGAGTTGGCTAGTGGGGTGTGTAGGGGGAGTACTAGGGGAGGAGCCCGGGCAGCCTCATTTTCCAATTGCTTGGTTCCAAAGGAAGAGGGGACCAGGAGATGGGAAGGGCAGTGCCTGGGTCCTATTTTTGGCCCTTCCCTTGGGGGCTGCAGCTTGGTGTCTGGGTCTCACACCCAATGCTTGTGTTTGAAGGGAGATAATGCATTGGGGTAAAAGACCAAAAAAAAAAAAAAAAAAAAAAAATCCCAAATCCCCGAATCCTGCCCTGCCCCCATTCAAGGGTAACATAGGTCCTAGAACTTCGCTGCCCACCCAGGAATCCAAGCAACCCTTCTCCCTCCCTCCACCCCACTACCCCACTCCTGGCAGCCTGAGCTATAGCTTTGAATGGGCTGCCCACATATGGAGGGGGGTAGGAGTGACTCACTGCTACTATGGAGAGGGAAGGGGGAGCCAGCGGTGGAAGAAGGGTGACTCACCCCATGGGCACCAGCCTCAGCCCTCCCTCACTCTCCCATTTCCCCCAGCCCTGCCTGTCCGACCCCTCCCCCACTGCCCATTGCCCACCCACTCTCTCCCCTTGGCTCTGCCCTGTGCCCCTGAAGGCCCGAAGCAGTAGAGGCGGGGGGGATAAGCTTTGGGAGCTGAGAGCGCTGGGCTGGCAGGCACGGAGACCAGGGGAAGCTTCAGGCACCCCCTGGAAGTGCGGCGCCAGGGTGGGGCCTGGACACCTCCTCCCGACTCTCCGCCGGTCCGGACCCCTTGGCTAGGTGACTGCCCCTTTAAAGACTAGCCCCGCCTCCCCGAAGAGGAGGCCCTATTAGAGCCTGGGCCCCGGCGCCGGTGACTCAGTGTCCGCGGGAGCGCCGCAGCCACGCCAGCCAAGCCCGCTGCCGCCGCGCCGAGCTCTGACAGCGCCTGCCAGGAGCAAGCCGCGACCCAGCCGGCCGGCCTGCTCCGCCCCTGAGCCCGCTCCGGCCGTCCTCCGCTCCGAAGCCCCCCGCGCCCTTCCCGGGAGCCTCCTGCCCTGCGGGCAGCCTTGCCACCCTGCCGGCCATGGAGACCCCGTCCCAACGGCGCGCCACCCGTAGCGGGGCGCAGGCCAGCTCCACCCCGCTGTCACCCACCCGCATTACCAGGTTGCAGGAGAAGGAAGACCTGCAGGAGCTCAATGACCGCTTGGCCGTCTACATCGACCGGGTGCGCTCGCTGGAAACCGAGAATGCGGGGCTGCGCCTTCGCATCACTGAATCCGAAGAGGTGGTCAGCCGCGAGGTGTCCGGCATCAAGGCTGCCTACGAGGCAGAGCTCGGGGATGCTCGCAAGACCCTCGACTCAGTGGCCAAAGAGCGTGCCCGTCTGCAGCTGGAGCTGAGCAAAGTGCGTGAGGAGTTTAAGGAGCTCAAGGCGCGGTGAGTGAACTCAGGTGGCAGCGGGTGTGCTGAGGACCCCCTAGTCCAAGGTTCTCCGGGGAAGGGTGCCACGAAGGCCTGGGCTGCCGAGAACTTCACCATGAAGTTTCCTCCCTCTCCGGAACTGCCTCGGGCGGGAGTGACTGGCAGTGCCAAGGGGGAGCTGTCAGGACAGGAAGGACAGGGGAGGGTCTCCGCGATTGAGGGCGGGGGGGGGGTACATATGAGGAGTAGTAGGGGGCGGGTGGCAGGCCTGCATGTTGTCAGGGTGAGAGTTGACAATCTTGTGGGGCTTGAGAGGAAAAGAACTTGAGCAAAACAAACTGGGCCTGCCCGGTCCATATGGCACACATTGGAGGGGTGAATGGTTCCTGGTGGAACTTTCTTGGCAAGACTTGGCACTGTGCCAGCTTGGCCAGGACATACCTCCTGAGCTGGCATCTATCCAGGGTGGTGCTGGAGAGATGTCACCACGCCAGGACAAGCCCCCACCCCTAAACTTTCCCGTCCAAGGGGAAAAGGGGGTGCTCCTGGTTTCCTTCACTGGCTGCGTGTGCCTAACTCTCTGGTCTCTGACCAGAGGCCCACCCAAACAACTCTAGGAGTCTGGCTCCTCCACAGCTCCCACAGCCCTTAGCCTGCTTGGCCCAGGAATGCGAGGGAGGGAGGGAATGGAGAAAGACCGGGCAGAGGCTTGCGGCTCAGGAAGTTGTGTTATGCCCAGAGCTGGACGCAGCCCCTCTTGGCCTTCCACCTGGCGTCTTGGTGGGCTGGAGGAGGAGTGGGGGGGACAGACAGGACTCAACTCAGTCCTTCCTTCCCTCCCTCCTCTGAGAGAACCGCTTTCATTTTCCCGGCCACGCCAGAGCACTCTACTCCCATATCCGGCCTCTCTGCCCGCCGCTGACGTTTTTTGATCTTTGCCTTATTAACCGGCTGGAATACGGTGACATTTTTGAAATCCAGCCGTTGGAAGGCTCAGGCCACTCCCACTTCACCCATCGCTGCCGCACCCTACCCCACCCTCCTCGACTCCTCCTGCTTGGCTAACAAGGCATTGACAAGTCCTGAGGTTGGGGCCTTCTTCCAGCTCTCCCTCCTTCCTTCAAATTTGCTTTCTTCTTTCACTTTCCCAAGCCAAAGGGCTCTTACAGGTGCTTGGAGATCTGTGAGAGGCTGGTGGTTTCAACCTCACCACCTCCTTCTTGTCTTTGTATTTTTCCCAGTCTTTCCCCAAACCCCACCCCAATGTTTTCTGGGGGCCCTTCTGCTCTCTGCTAGCCCCAGGCCCCATGTGTGTGGCTGACCCATTCCCTTCCTCAAGTTGTGTGAAGAGTTGGGTTCAACCCTGATGTCTGTTGAAAGGGATCACCTATCTTTTTCCACTAGCGATCTGAGTAGCTTAGCTAGCAAGACAGATAGGAGGCAAGCTAGGGGAGCCGAGGCAGTGGACTAGCATGTTCAACTAGTCCGCTCAGCCCCTGTACGGGTCCCGCGAAGGACATGCCTCGTGGAGCTGGGCAAACATTATTGCAGGAGGCTTTCACGCAGCCTCACTTGTCTGTCTCCGGTGCAGCTGTCCTGGGCCTGGGACGTCAGGGCGGGGGTGGTGTGTGTCCCTGTTATATTTAGCCACCTGCTTGTCTCTGTTTTCCCCCCTCACTGATCCTGAGTAGGCAGGCTGAGCTTCCGGAAGAGGGAGTAGATTTGCACACCTGGATCCCAGGTCAACGGCAGGTGGGGCCAGGGGCTGAGGCTGAGGGGCTCACCCTGGGGTGGCTATTCTCTGCCATGTCCAGTATCCGTTGTAAGAGGCAAGATGGCTTGCTCCCTTTTGCACCTGCTAGGCTCAGGGTAAGGTGGAGAAGTGGGAAAGAAAGATAGGCCGTGTCCCTACCCCTCCCTCCGCCAAAGCCTGGAGAGGTGTTATCTGGTTTAATGTTTAATTAGAGCTCAGAGTCCAGGGCCAAACTTGGGTTGGGATACAGGGCCTTCTGGAAGACCCTGTGGCAATGCTGGGCACCTTGGCCACACCCAGCGGTTAGAGGATAGAGAGCCCTTCTTTTCTTCTCCCAACGTACAGTGGGCTGCGTGACACACCCATCTGCCTTATCTTTCTTCCTGAAGCCCAGGTATCAGCACCCCTAGGTTTAGGCTGAGATTGCCCTTCTATAACACCCCCCCCCCCGCCCACCACACCCTGGAAAGGCCTGCCTCCCCACCTGGCTCTAGGCTAGGAGCTAGGTGCCACCCCAGGCCAGACTAGCAGAGTGCATGAATGACTCAGTTGCTACCCCTCCACCTCCCTAGGGACTTGAGAGACAGCAGGAGACAGGGTGGGGTCCACAGATGTCTTGCCAGGGGTGGGGGGGGAGGAATGGAGGCCTGAAGACCTGCCCCTTTCAGCCCCTCCATTTCCGCAGTGTCCTGGGGTCCCTCTCCTGCCTCTTTTGCTTGGAACCTGCACTGGTGTCTGGAACCAGGGCTACAGACGGGCAGTCTGCACGAGAGTTCGAATGCGGAATGATGGACATTGGGCTGCGGGATGGTGCCTTCCCAAGGCGGAACTGTTGGGGGGAAGGCTGAGTCAGCCATAGGGTGATCCCCGGCCCACAAAGCAGAAGCACCTCTTCCCCTGAGGGAGGCCCTTGTATCCGACGACTTCCTGGATTGCCCGCCTTCCTTGAGCAGCCCCTAGTGCAGACAAGGCAGGGATATTGCAGGCTCAAGGTCACCATAGCCTCTGCTCAGGCCAGCAGGGCATAGAGGTGTGTCCTGTGTTGGGAATTGAGATTCCCACTGACTCCCCGCTGGCTCCTCTTCCCACCAAAGCACACCCCTCTTGCTTTGGGCCAAGTTGGAGGCTTGGAGGTGGCTGAAGCCTGTGCTGGCTGCCACCTGCCTAAAGACTGTGCTGCTTGCGCCCTGTGGGGCCTGGATGCTCGGCTGTCCTGCCAGGGCTTGTCAACACTTGATCAGTAGCCTTTGTCCCAGCCCTCAGTGCCTGAAAAGTCCTGGGACCCTCTAGGCTTTTAGATCACGAGACACATTTTGGAAGTTTGGAAGAAGGCTGGTGGTTTGTGTCTTGAGACTGTCTTGGGACTTGTCTGGAGTGTTATCGCCTAAATCAGGAAAGAACAGTACCCTTGGGCAGTCATTAGGAGGCCAGTGAGGACAGGGGCCTGGGGGCTGATTGAAGTGGGACAGTACCTACAGGTGCTGCCCCCCACATTCTGATGGAAAGGGAGAGAAGGTGGAACACATGCCATGGGGAGGGGGAAGAGCAATACTCCAGGAGCACAAGGAAAAAGAGAAAGGAGAGGAAGGCCCCATCAGGGCTCCTGTGGCCCTCCCTTGGCCCCCAGGAGTCAGGACAGACTTACTCTTGGCATGGGTATACCCATTGTCCTCACTCCCACTCCCGCCCCTAGTAATTGGGTAGCTGAAGCCAGGGACAGCTGAGGGGAACAGCTGGTCAGGGAGAGGCCTGCAACTGTGCCCTCTGCTCCACCTCCCCCGGCCCCCTCAGCCCCTCACTGGTCTCTTTCAGCAGCTGCAGCAGCAGAGGCAGGGCCAGCTCTGAGGAGGCTCTGATACCAGGGAAGGTTTTATTATCTGGGCCTCACCTCCTGGGGCTCCCTGGGCATTGCAGGGGACGTGGCCAAGTGCGGAGGTTTCTTGGAGATTTTCAAGGAGGTCCATAGGGTCTGACGTGAATAAGGTCATGGATCCAACCCTGGCCCAGTCCTGCCTCTGAGTTTCTGTGTGACCTTGAATTAGTCTCCCTTCCCTCTGGGTTTTACTGGGTGTAGAGAAAAGGGGTCAGAGCAGGAGATCGGCAAAGGTCCCTAAGTAGTGGTGGCAGGAGTGAGCAAACCACCCTCAAAAACACCAGGCTATTAATAGTCAAATCAAATATAACCAAGGTGAATACAATTACTCCCCAGCGCTGTTCTCCACACAAGCATTTCCCGCAAACTGTGCAGTTAAGAATGCAGTCATGCTCGTCTCCCATTTCCCAGAGAATGGTTGTTGGAGATGGCCAATCACGAGGCGCTAGGCCCCCTTGGCAGGTGCTCTGTTTACAATGCCAGGAGGAAAGGATAGTGCGTTGTCAATGGCTGTCCGTGCGGGACAGTGGCAGGGCTTGGATCACGTAGCAGGAAAGGGACAGTTGGCATAGGAATAGATTCCACTCACCTGTGTTGGGAGCAGAGGGAGGCCTTAGGAAAAGTAGGACTGTCACCTTGGAGCTGGCCAGGGGTAGCACGTGCCTGGAGCCACAGGGAGGCACGTGATGACCTTGAATGGCCCACCTTCCCCCATCCTGTACCTAGGCTAGCTTCCCGGAGCTGAGGCTGTCCTACCAGGCGGTCTTGGCCTTTACTGGTCCCTTAAGAGCTAGGATGGGGGTGAGAAGGGTGGTGCTAGAGAAGGAGTGGCCCTCCCAGTCCCACTGTAGTTGTGGGAGAGGAAGCCGGAATCCCGCCTGCTGAAGCCAGGAATAATTCTGGCTGGGAACCCGGGCTGGCCAGGGGCGCTGAGTCACCCCAGAGGGGCAGGGTGGAGAGTGGACGGGAGACCCTGAGTGTGCATGTGCAACTGCAGCAAGAGAGACCAGGACGGCGGGGGGTGGGGAGTAAACAAAGGGCTGGGGAACAGGGTGCCAGTCTCCTTGGGGCTGGCTCAGGAGAGGAGCAAAAGTCTTCCTTCCAAGGGATCAGGCTTTGAAGCTCTGGTGCAGCCACCTTCTGCCAGCTGGGAGAGAGACTCACATCTTCTCAGGCTGGAGCTGGAATGCAGTGAGACTAGAAAAACACAGGTCCTCCCAGCTCACTGCCTCTCCTAGCCTGGGTGTGGCTTCCACTCACTCTCACCAGGAGCTGGCAGGGTTAACAGCTCTGCTCCATCAGGACAAGGGTTAACAAGTCCCACAGGAAGGCTGCTGCTGCTGTGGCCTCTGGGGCGGTGGTCCTCCCACTGTCCTTCCCTTAGGCCTG